ATGTCAATTTTTAGCCATTGCTGAGAAGCAGAACATTAATTTACAAGCTAGGTACTCAGAAGGAACTATACAGTGCAGAATAACAGGCTTTAATATGTGTGAAGATTACCTGAATTTCAGTTCTTGATAAAAGCTTCCTTGTGAGCACTTTCCTAATTATTTTATTGTGCTAAAATGATCTTTGTTACTTACTGCAATGTTTATCTGATCACAGGTGACACACGGACTGAGACATTGGCTTACGTGCTTTTCTGGGGAAGTGCAAGCTTTGGAACTTTAGCTATCATCTTTTACAATGGCAAGGATTTTGTTGATGCACCAAAACTGGTTCAGAAAGAGAAGATGGACTGAATTTGTGTGTGTGGAAAGCGGCTTGGCATGGAGGACTCCTCAAGCCATACTTGGAGTCTCTACTGACCTGCTTTCCACACCAACTAGTTAGTGATCTTTCTAACTTTCTTCTTCGTGGAGAGAAAAAGTGAATTTTGTCCTTCAGCTGGTGGGAATTCACAGTTGAGATGTGGTTTTACAGTCTTAGTCACAGTGATCTTTGGAATATTGCATTAATTGGGGAGATTGCACTCATAACAAGATAACTTACAGGTGAAAACACTGATATTTTGGCTATCTTTGGAAGATTATAGGATATAAACTGGCCTTCTAAGTTGACAGCCTAGCAGGGTAGTTTCATTCAACATGTGATCTCATAATCTTAACAAAGATCTCTGGTTCAGTTTGTGTCAACATGTCCAGCTGTGGTAGTATTAGTAATGTAGACTCACATCATGTTCTTTCAGGTAAGATAGCATTCCTAGTAATACAAAGTTTTATTTCTAGACTTAACAGCTGCGTTTCATTTGTCCATCATACAGGCAGTCACTGTTAGCACAAATCCTTTAATTAGGGTAGAGAATCATACCTTATTGCTTCTATCAAAATTCAGGTCTTCTGTCTCATCTACAATTGATGCAATATTCTACTAACCTATTTGTAAGGTGAGAAGATGAATTATTGGTGGACACTTCTGAGGCTGCAAATGTGTTTTGCACTAAACTACTGCAATCTCCAGATGACTTTTTATTACAGTTAGTTAGCAATTTAAGTGTGATTCAGGTCAGATTGTTGCTTTTTATGATGTAAATGAAATCAAATAATGTAAAACTTCTCTACTGTGTTTATTGACCCTCATGCTAATGGTCCAAAGTATTCCATATTTAAAGAACAGTCACAATGTAGAAGATACACTTCATATTATTTTCTTAGTCACCTGATTATCTACTTTTTGGTTATGTGGGGATTACCTGTGGAAGAAAGAATATAAATCTTTGGGATGACAGTCTTCTGCTAAATTCCATGTTTGCACTTAGGGGAAGTGGCAGCAGCTTGCTTTTTACGCATGATAAAACTAAAAAAATTAAGCTCTGAATATTTTTGCTGATTATCAATAAATGTGTGTCTTAAATTTAGTGCTTCCAAATCTACATAAAATCTGAATCAAGGACCAATTTTAAAATATTTTGTCACTTTTATGATTTGTTAAACTAGACATGAAATTTGCTTATGGCACTGTGCATTGTTTAATATTTCCTGTAAGTACAGTTGTATATTCAGATTGCAATTATGAAGATTAAATATTAGAAAAAAAGTAGAATACTAGGGTTAGCACCGTTGTCATTAATGGCCTAGCACACAAAACACTGCATCATCAGTGTTTCATTGTGTTATGATTGAAAATATGTACAGTTTTTTGCAATAACAATTCATTTTAATCTTGAATGTTTCTGGAGGCCTCTTTGGTTTTGTTAAACATTACCTGTTCATAAGTGCTAGTAATAAAAATGCAAAGTACATGTTGCTTTTAGATGCTACAGTGGAAATATCAGTTGACAGTTTAACTGAGAAATTCTTTCTAACTTAATCTCAGACATCAACTCCGTAATGGGTAAGAAAGTATAAGAACTCTATAGTTAAATATTTAAATAATGGTTTGTATGCCTCATTGGCAGGTGATGTTTTGAAATGTAGTCCAGCTGTCTTACAATGTGTATCTAAATCTTTCCTTGCATCTCCTGTTAAGAGTTTGCTGCAACAAAGACAAAACCTGGACAGCTAATATAACCACATAGCAAGAACTAGATTAATGTAGGTTTTGAGACTTGGAAGGGCATCTGTATTCCAATGCTTTGCAAGGAGATTGTGTACTGTATCTAAGTTTGCATATGATGTACTCATAAATTACAATAAAACTTTAATCTTTTCTAGATCCTGACAGTTGTTCCTGTATTTTAGTTGATGGGTTTAAAAATGCAAACTTTAAAAATTATTTCTTGGAAATGGCTGATCATCAGGTACATTCTGAGCAGTTAATCTGTAAATACAAAATTAAAGCCTTCTATTTTTATACTTAAAACTTTTAATGGATTAGTTTAAAAATAAGATTTTAATTAGCAAATATGTTCCATTTTCCTCTGCCAACTATGAACTTTACCTTTCTGAAAAACAAAGCATTTGGGGAGACACAGGAGAAGTTTAAAAGTAACACGTGAAGTTAAAACAAAAAACAGGACTATGTAGCACTTTAAAGACTAACAAGATGGTTTATTAGGTGATGAGCTTTCGTGGGTCAGACCCACTTCCTCAGATCAAATAGTAGAAGAAAATTGTCACAACCATATATACCAAAGATGATGACAATTTTCTTCCACTATTTGATCTGAGAAAGTGGGTCTGGCCCATGAAAGCTAATCACCTAATAAACCATCTTGTTAGTCTTTAAGGTGCTACATAGTCCTGTTTTTTGTTTCAGCTACACCAGACTAACATGGCTACATTTCTATCACCTGAAGTTAGACTCCCTACTTGACTCAATTCTTTGTCCACCCCTTTACAAGGCCAACTTAGACCACCAGCAGTGTTTTTTATTGGCTCAGTGTTAGATACATGAGGGCTGCATCTACACTGGCAGTTTTGAATTTGCGCAAGAACACTGACGATCTAATGTAAGATTGTCAGTGTCCTTCCGCAAATACAATGACTCTCCCATTTGGGAAAAAAACCTCTTGCGCAAATGCAAGACGGCTCTGCACATTGCTGTATTGTCTTTCTCCCTCGGGGGAGAGAGAGGATCAGCAATGCACCAAAGCATTTCTCCAGCTTTCCCCCACTGCTGTGATAGCAGCAGGGGTGCCTAGGAGTGGGCGGGACATAGTCATGTGTGCCCTTGGGAATGGGGTGCCAGGTAACTGCCTCATTACCATAACCCTCCCAGCTTCTTCCGTGGTCTGCAAAAATTCCTTAATCCATCATACTCTATTTCCCAAGGTTGCCAGATTAGAGGTACAAGTGTATTACAATGGGTCCTTCTATATTTGGTTTAATTCTTTCTTTATATCCTCAGCATTAGAGGAATTGGTAGACTCCCAGGGAATCAATGTTTTATCAGAAACCTGCTTAAAAAAAGATTCCTGGAGAAGCACTCTTATGAATATACTCTATCAGAAAGGGTATTTCTAAACTCTGAATCAAAACATTTGGTAGACCTAGGACTCTACCCCTTAAATTTAAAAGAGACCAAGTGCGCATTTATATCAAGACACAAACTAACAGCCTGGCTACGTCTACACTGGCCCCTTTTCCGAAAGGGGCATGCTAATTTTAAACTTCAGAATAGGGAAATCCGCGGGGGATTTAAATAAAGATGTCCACCGCTTTTTTCCGGCTTGTAGATAAGCCGGAAAAAAGCGTCTAGACTATCTACAAGCCGGAAAAAAGTGGTGGACATCTTTATTTAAATCCCCCGCGGATTTCCCTATTCTGAAGTTTAAAATTAGCATGCCCCTTTTGGAAAAGGGGCCAGTGTAGACATAGCCCCTGGGTTTATTGGTTAATTCAAAGGAACACACACCTTCCTTCCTGCCTCTATCGGGGGAGAGGTAGGCAGGAGCCAGTACCCTTGAGTGGGCTTTTAAGATGGCTCCCTGTGCATGCTGGCTCCCATGCAGCTCCCTTCTCCTCCTCCTTCCCCCCCCCCCCCCCCCCCAGCCGAGCTGGCTTAAAGGAGCAGCACTTGGGAGGGGAGGGGAGGGGAAGAGAATGCTGGAACATCCTATTGGCAGAAAGCTCGGGATTTTTAAACCTAGTTCTACTGTGGACCAGCTCTGCCTGCCACTCCACACTGTTTCCTGTGATATGGAGGCAGAAGCATGGGATGGCAGGGGGCTTCCCCAGGAGTGAAGCGGGGAGCTGGTAGTGCAATGGCTGTCAGTCTCTGCCCCAGGAGAAACATTTTTAATAACCAGGTAACCATTAAAAATTGTTGTGACTATATGATTACTAAAATATCTAACATCCCTATTAAAAATATCATAATCCATAGGTAGTACTACTACACATTAATGTGAATGTGGTCCTGAAATGTATTCAGCCCTCCAGTGCAGGATAGTAGTTTATCTGATGTCATAAAGGGTAATTTTGGTTCAAAGTATTTCCTTAAAAAATGCCATTGAGTCTCTACTGCCAATCCAAAGCAGCACTGATATTGGTGGAGAGGGGGTACTAATCCTTCAATAAAGGCATACAACTAAAGCAGAAATGTCTGTTGTTCACAATCCCTTGCATGTGTTGAACGCGGCGTGTCGCGTACTCCTCTGTACCATAACGGAAACTTAATCAATGTCCTTTGCTAGTTGATTGATGCGTAGGAGGGGGCCACATTTTGGCTGCGAGAGTCTCCTCTTTAAGCCCAGCCTTGTCCTAAACGTCTTGACTTTTGAGGCAAAACTGGGCTTTGGAGCAGTTTGCTTTCGCGTGGGGGAAGGGAAGCAAGCAGGACGCCTGCCGCCCCTGAGCCAGCGCGCCGCTGCGAGACAGAGCCGCTCGCGGGGGGAGGGCGCTTCAGCCGAGGGGCCGCGCTGAAGCCGCTGCCCATTGGCCAGGCCCTCGCTGCCGGCGGAGCAGGGCTGGCCCGGCCCCCACAAGGCGGGGGGCGAGGGCCCCCGCCTTAACGCACATCCGGCCGCGAGGAGCGGCGCTTCCGGCTTTTGAGTCGCGCGACGCTCAGTCGCGCCAGCGCCGTTTCATTCACCGAGCGCCGGAGCGGCCTGGTCCGAGGCCTCCGCCCCGAGCTCAATTTTTTTTACTTTCTCCCCGTGCCCGGGTTGCCGCTCTGTGGTCCCGGCCGGCCTGACGCCCCCGCTCCGCCGCCATGAAGCTCGTGAGGTGAGATGGGCCCGGATGGAGGCGGATTCGGGGGCGGGCAGCGGCGGGAAAGGAGCGCGAGCGCTGGGCCGCAACCTGGGCCTTCCGCCGTCTCGTGCCGCGCCGGCTGCTCGCGCGCACCTCACTCTTCTCCCCTCCTCTCCCCCCCCCCGCCCGCCTCGCGCCGGGCGTCCCGTTCCACAGCGGGTGGAAGCAGGGCGCAGCTGTGCACCCCCCGTGCAGGTTCCGGGAGCCCCTCCCCCTAGAGCGCGCAGTTGTCTCGAGGTGGCCGTTACCACCCGCCCCCTCCCCACGGGCCGCTCCTGTCCCCAACGGCCCCGTAAGGAACGTGACTGTTAACATCACGCACGTGACTTCTTCCACCCCCCACTACGGCTTGTGGCCCCTGGGCGGCGAGTCTCTGCCAGAGACTCCTGCCCGGCCGGTGCCTTCGCCCTTTGCTCGCTGGTTGCGACTCCTAAGTCTTTCCTCGCCCCGCGCGCACACGTGGATGAGCCTGGTTATGGATAAAAGAAAGTGTCATTGCCCCATGGGGGGGAGGGTCATTTCCCGCCTGTTTAAATGCGACTCTCATTGTTACACAAGTGTCTACTAGCCAGAAGAGTTACTCCCTGATAACTGCGAGACGGGGGAGTAAGGGGAAGTGTGGCTCCCTTCTTGGGGAGTGTTGCTAAAACTCAGCAAGACTGGGACTCCCTTGTCCCTAGCTGGGCCACAAAGAACGCTTATTCCCAACACCATATGTCCCTGCTAAACAATAACTTGAACAATTCTTAAAAGTTACATTTTTCAGTGTCGGTATTGTTCATGTCGTGCACTTCGTTCAGTTTGTGCAAATGAAAATAGATTAGTTTGTTGTATTGTCACTTTCACTTTAGGATTGGTAAACAGTGCAATGATTTTTGGGCTACAATGACTGTTTAATACAAAAGGGTTATTTAGGGTTATTGAACATACTTTTACCATTGACAGTTTTGTAAAACCTGTTTTTTTTTTTTAACAAAACTGCTCCTGGGATAAGTAAGCCTATTTCTGTTTAAATATTGTTGTTCCAACTATAAAAGCAGTAGGATTAGAACAGATTGCTTAGGGAGATTTGTTGAAGCTCCTTCACAGGAGGCTTTTGAAAAGGCTGGATAGCCATCTGCTGTTTTTGTTGGTTTAGATGTAACAAATCCTGCCTCTTGGCAAGGGGTTAGAAGAGATGACCCTCAGTGTCCCTTATAGCCCTGTGATTTAGGGCCATACCAAATTCACAGTCCATTTTGGATACTTTCAGCATCATAGGATTTTAAAAATCTTAAATTTCATTATTTCAGCTATTGAAATCTGAAGTTTCATTATATTCTAAATGTAGGGATTCAACTCAAAAAGGAGTTATGGGGGACTCAAGGTACTACAATCCTTACTTTTATGCCGTTGCTAATGGCAGCACTATCTTCAATGCTGGGCATCTGAAGGATAGCAGCTGCTGGCTGGGAGCTGAGTTCTGAAGACAGAATCACTGCCAGCAGCAGCTCAGAGGTAAGAATGATTGGGTGTGCTGCCGCCTGTTGAGCTGGACGCTCCGTCATCAGTTACCATGCTCCAGCTGCCCAGCTCTGAAGGCAATGATGCAGAATTAAGGATGGAAGGTATGGTATTGCTACCCTTACTTCTGTGCTTCTGCTGCCTGGGTGCTGCCTTCAGAGCTGAGTGCCTGGCAAGGAGCTGCTGCTTTTCAGCTGCCCAACTCTGAAGGCAGCACAGAACTAAGGATGGTAATACCACAACCACCTCTCCCCCTCCCCCCAAAATAACTCCCCTGCACCTCCGTTTTGGGTCAAGGCCCTCAGTTTAAAAAATGCTGATCTCCCCAATTAAATCTGTATAGTAGAGGGTAAAAGTGCACAAAAGCCTAGATTTCACTATCTGATATTCCTTTTTTATGGTTGTGAATACTTTACTTGGTTATTTGCCCCATAGCAATGACTGTAGTTCCTGTATTTATTTTGTTAAAAAGCAAAGCTTGTCTTAAATGACTGTCAGGTAACTAGTAAATGTTTTTTGCTGAATTAATGCATTATAATGCTTAGATGCCAAATGCGTATCAGAATTGTACTTAAACTCTTTGTGGATTCTTTGGAACAGTTTCCAGTCAGGATGCTTAGGAATGGTGTGTACAGTCATCACTGGCTTTTTTTGGTTGGTTGTAGCAGTTCCTCAGAGTTCATACAGAATTACCTTTTTTGGAATATTATGAGGTTTGAGATCACTTCATATTGTTTGTAATGCATATGCCAGGGCCTAGGTGAGTTAAGGAAAGTGGTAGAACCTCATTTTCCTAAGTTCTGATGATATGAGACAAGACTTTTACAAAACATTTTCAGAAAAGCCATATAGTTGATTATTACTGTATTGTCATATGGGAATGGAAGTTCTGCTTTTCAACTTCACTTTTATTTTTCAGGTTTCTAATGAAATTGAGTCATGAAACCGTGACCATTGAACTGAAGAATGGAACACAAGTGCATGGAACAATTACAGGTATGGAATTCAAGATGATGGAGACTAAAAACCAAAATAATTAAGGAATTGATAGACAAAGGAAAATCCATTCTCTTCTAAAGAGACTCCACTGTGATAGCTAAATGAGTCGTCTTAGGAGATGGATTCTGTGAAAAATGTGGTGGCAAATAAAATCACCTCACAAGCAGTAGCATAAGAAACATCATTTTAGGGTTTTTCCTTATTCAGGGGTGTGGTTTTTTTTCCCTTTGCGGTGAATGTTTAGACTGTACGTGTATCTTTAATTTAAAGAACAGCAACAGTCAACTAATCTAACGTGTTAGGTGTCTTGAAGAGTTTTTATAATGTACTGCATCTGAACAAATAGATTATGTTGAGGACTACCACCCATCTCACAATGGGATTAATTATGTTTACTTTTTCCCACCCTTCTGTTATCCTTGCTGACTTTCCCGTGCAGGTTTCTTTGCTGCCTTCTGCTCTTGCATGTGCTTCTTAATTCCTAGTACAGTAAAACTCCATTGGTCCGGCATCATCAGGAGCCCGGAAGTGCTCCGGGCAGCCGGACCATTGGAGGTGCTCTGCCCCCGGCTTCCCCGATTCAGCCGCTGCTGAAACTGACCAGCGGCTGAATCAGGAAAGCCGGGGGCAGAGCAGCGGGAGTACTGCCGCTAGGTCCCGTAGCGCTGTCCCTCGGCACTGCGGGATCAACCCGGCAGCACCCCAGCTGTCCCTAATTCAGCCGCTGCTAAAACTGACCAGCAGCTGACTCCGGGAAGCCCAGGGCAGAGCAGCTCTGCCTCGGGCTTTCCGGAGTCAGCCGCAGGTCAGTTTCAGCGACAGCTGACTTGGGTGCTGCCGGGTTGGTCTGGTAGTGCCGCCCCTTGGCGCTGTGGGACCAACCCAGAAGCACCCCAGCTGCTCTGCCCTAGACGTCCCCAAGAGCAACTGAGGTGCTGCCGGGTTGATTTCGCAGCATCAAGGGGCGGCGCTACCGGACCAACCCGGCAGCACCCCAGCCGCTGGCCAGCAGGGGCTGGATGCTGGACTATCGAAAGGGGGGGCTATGAGGTGTCTACTACTTTCCTGCCTCTTCTGTTCCCCTGTTAAAATCTCAATTGCCTAGGAAATAGATAAGGCTAGGAACCAGAAGATTGTGAAAGTTAGATTCACTATTACTACTGACCTTAATTCTGTACTCTTCACAACTTTTGTTATTGAGCAAGACCTTGCATTTCATTGCAAGATGTCACAAACTAGGAAATAATCCAGACTGCTAAAATGACAGGCCTAAGTAGAGCTGGTTGGAAGTTTTTCAGTGAAAATTTTTCATTAGAATATTCCAGTTTGTTGAAACTAAAAATGTTTGTGGGGTCATAGCCAACGCACAATTTTTGCTCTTTCAAAACTTCTTGGTTTTGTCCCAATCAGAATGGAGAATTTTTATTTATTTATTTATTTATTAAATCTCAAAATTTTCAAAGGGCTGGAACATTTTTCCATCTACTGTAGATCCAAAACACTGACCACACTGCTGCTCTTTATGTGTTTGAGTATACCTGTCTATAAAATGTGGCGACTCTTTGATACGAGGCTCAGTGTTTCAGTCAGTAGAAGAAATTGTCCTTTTACTGCTACCAGCCCATGCAGCTAACGCAAATGCTAGAGAGCTGTGGGCAATGTCCAGGTTTCATATCTTTACTGATGACAAAAGATAGGTGGGGGAAATGGTTGTTACAAGTTCACATAATTTTATTTTTTAATACAAAGAAAGTTTATTATTATTTTAATAAAATAATGTTAAGAGTGTAAAGTCAGGTACTTAGTTAGGAAATGACAGATTTAAATTTGTCCATTAATTCTGCTTCCTGTATGTATGATATAATCTTTAATTAAGTTATCATACTTTTTTTTCCTTGTAGGACCACTGTTTAACTTCAGTGCTAGGATAATTAATCTCATTGAATAAAGCAGGGTTGTTCAGTCAGTGAATCTGTTAGACTGTTGCCTCATTAGGTGTAGGTATTTAGAGAATGATATGGGGGGGCCTAGAGGAAGAGATATGATGGTCTTGTGAATAAGAGAGTTGAAAGCTACATAGGTGAATTGGATTCTGTTTGTGGTTTTACCATGATGCTGGACAAGTCATTAAAATAATATTTTTCAAAGATAGGTACTAATTGTGCACTTTCTTTTCAAATGTAAATCTTGTAAAAATGTCTTTAAAATGTCTTTATCTAACAGCAACCAATTTTTTGGTGCGTTTAGTTTTTTTCTTCCCTAAAATTTGTCATCCTCTGTTGTGTTTCAGGAGTGGATGTCAGTATGAATACACATCTTAAAGCTGTGAAAATGACATTGAAGAACAGAGAGCCTGTACAATTGGAGACATTGAGTATTCGAGGGAATAACATTCGATACTTCATTCTGCCTGATAGTTTACCTCTTGATACCTTATTAGTGGATGTTGAACCAAAAGTCAAATCCAAGAAAAGGGAAGCAGGTTGGTTTGTAATTTTATCTTTGATTCCAGATTACTTGGGGGGTGTTAGTTTGCTCTATAAATGAACTTTTTTTTAATTGAATCTTCAGTAATCTTAAAGTCTAATTAAAATATTTTGGGTTTTGTGTGGTATTGTTGAAAAATGTTTTTGAGGTTTGCTGTCCTTTAGCTGGTAGGCACTGACAGTTTGTAGATGATTTGGTATTCCAGTAGAGCAAATCTGTTTTAAGGTTAACTCTGACACCCTTCTTAAATTCTACATAAATCTGAAAATTATATGTATATGGCGTCTTTCCAGAGAAGAAAGAGTTTGAGGGAAAAAATTAAACCAGTCAGTTCTGAGATGATTTCAAAATGACATGTATTTTGCTTTTGAAATTCACTCTGTGTGCGCGTGCATGCCACCTCTCTCACTTTTTACACTATTCACTTCAGGTTTTGTTTCTTAATTTCGATGGGCATTAGTATAGAGGGGCCTCTCTTACTATGAGTAGGTAACTTAGGAGTCATGTGCTACAGGAAAGAAAAAAAACATTGGATTCTGTATGGTCTCCCAACACCTTAACTTCCATGATAAGTCTGGGATGTTTTCAGATAGTGGGAGTCATGGCTCTAACTCCCATCTGCATTATATTTTCACGCAACATAGTTTTAAGTTTTGTCTCAGATAAAAAAAATCCCAAACAAAACATTTTGATAGCATTAAAGTTGTAAATAGAGAACTATTAATTTAAAATCACACCATTAAAACGTTGTTGTAACAAGAAAGCTAGAAAATGAAAAATCTTTAGTTGAGGTTCGTAAACTACTTGTAAACCATATCTTCTTCTACCTCAGATTCTAAATAATTTTTTTCTCAGACCACTTGAAAATCGAGGATCTTGATGGATTAATTTATGAGCTTTCCAAATGTTGTTTGTACTGTTAGCTAACTATTATGAAGTGCTATTTTTAAAAAAAACCTCAGCAATTAATGTCTTGAAAGCTGCTTGCACATGCATTGGCTCCCACCCACCCCTGCGCTGCTGCCCCTCTATCAGAGGCAGCTCTACAAGAGCTGGCTTCCCCTTACCCCTCTATGCTGGCTTCACCTGCTCACGCCCCCATGTTGCTGCCTCTGATATGGAGGCAGGGTGTGTAGACTTTAGGATTAACCAATAAGCCCAGATTTATTGGTTAATCACGTAAACAGCTACACACTAGCATCCCTACTAATTAGTAGAGCCTGTATCTGTGCAGCTCCACTAATTAGGTGAGCAGCCCTTCATTCTCTTGTGCACAGCCACACATGCATTCTCCTTATCTGTGGTCTACCTGAATAGAGCTCCCAAACTACAATTTGAGAACTTCCGATCTATCTAGGAAGGATATGCTTAACATATATCTTCTCTTGAAGCTTTAAAATCATTGACTGCAGCTAGAAACAATAAATTCTGTGAATGGAACCATTGTATGCTTTATAGAAATGTTGGTTCCCTTTTTTCCAAATAACATCTTAGCTTGGTTTGTTGAATGTAGTTCTCTGAGATCTCTAGCCTTTACATATTATATGAATAGTATAAAGGAATAAGCGAATCTAATTTATATTAAGGTGATTCCAGGGTCTGCACACTTTGATATGGCTCTCCACAACATGTGATGCCCATAATAGGAATAGTGGGAAATTGAACTAGGATTGGGTTACTTCTCAGAGTAAGGACATACAGTTGCATATTGTTGGTTATATTGTACCATATGGGAAGTAGGGATGGTAAATTGCAGGTAATCAGTTAATCGAATGGTCAGTGGAATTTCCATCAACTACTCGATTAGTCAATAAGAGGAGAAACTGCAGAGCTGTGGCTTTGACTTTTAAATGTATTAAGAGCCACCATTAAAAAAAACAGACATGCAGCGGCAGGGGGACTAGGAATGAGCCCGGACAGCTGACTCCCAGCTTGTTCCTTGTCTCCCTCACTGCCTGTATTTTTAAAATGTATTAAGAGCCTGGAATCTCTTAATACACTTAAAAAGCAGAGGTGGAGTGTCTGGGACTTGGGTACAAGCTGGGAATCCACTGATTCCTGACTTGTTGGTCACCCACTACACCTTTGCCTCTTTTGTCCCTCTGTTCCTCCCCCTCCCTGCCGAGCATTAGCTCCTGTTCCCTCCCCCCATTTCAGGTTTTTTTGTGTGTGAAATTTAACTACAGAGTTCCTTGCTACTTGTGCAACTAAGCATTCACATGTTTTCAGTTAATATCTATTGTAGCATAATTTATTTTTGGTTAATCAACACTGATTTTTAGATAAGATTCTCTTGTGGGATACATGCAGCATGTTTGTGCCTAGTTCTGCTGCCAGCTGTGAAATCTTTCATTCCCCTGCCCCAATTATTTTGTGTCACATGGGGGAGGAAGGATTTTTGGGGAAGAAGAAAAATGCACTTTTATATATTTCACATTATTTTACTTTAGAATGCAAACATTTTTATAGTGTATCACAGATGAGTTTCATAAAATGTATTGCTCAATGACCAGCTCAATTAATCAGAAATAATATGTATGACTCTGATAGGTAATTAGAGCTACATTTCTTAATTTGCTAATCCTCCACACTAATACACCTCACTGATGTTTTATGAAGAAAAACCTTTTTTCTCTCTGGTCTTTACAATGCTCTCCATCCTCTCAAACTGTAGTTAAATATGCAAAGCACCTTTATTAGAACACACTTCTAAATGGTTGTAGGGTGAAAAAGATTACATGTGCAACCCCCCTTTCGGTGAAATTGAACCATACCTGTGTCCCGAAGCCATATGTTTGTGGCATATGTGCAGTACAGCTTCCAATTCCCATTGCTTACAAGAGGCAAGTGACTTTTGTATGGGATATGCCTTATTTGAAAGCCCCTGCCTAATGGGATATATATAGTCTGTTTCAGCTTGGTCAGTAGTTCACATAGTAGGTAAATTTGTTATGAATGAGTGAGTAGGATATACCTTAGCATATTGTTTCCTATTGAGTATTGTAAGTAACCTGGATGATTTCCATTTTTCTGGAACTAAACTGTTGTAGCCAAGAGATGTCCAAAATTTCAGAAGTGCTCAGCATTCATCATTTCTTATGGAAAATAATGGGAGCTGTTGAATGATCACCTCTTTAGAAAATGTAGCCCACTTTTTAGTTGCCTAAGAGGATGTTAAGTGTTTTTGAAAATCTAGCTCTATACAGGCAGTCCCCGGGTTACGTACAAGATAGGGACTGTAGGTTTGTTCTTAAGTTGAATCTGTATGTAAGTCGGAACTGGCGTCCAGATTCAGCCGCTGCTGAAACTGACCGCCAG